TGCAGGACTTTCACTGTAACTGTAGTATTCCTACACTCTGGTACTTCTACTTTTACTCAAGTACAAGATCTGAGTACTTCTACTTTTACTCAAGTACAAGATCTGAGTACTTCTACTTTTACTCAAGTACAAGATCTGAGTACTTCTACTTTTACTCAAGATCTGAGTACTTTTACTTTTACTCAAGTACAATATCTGAGTACTTCTACTTTTACTCAAGCACAAGATCTGAGTACTTCTACTTTCACTCAAGTACAAGATCTGAGTACTTCTACTTTTACTCAAGATCTGAGTACTTCTACTTTCACTCAAGTACAAGAACTGAGTACTTCTACTTTCACTCAAGTACAAGAACTGAGTACTTCTACTTTCACTCAAGTACAAGATCTGAGTACTTCTACTTTTACTCAAGTACAAGATCTGAGTACTTCTACTTTTACTCAAGTACAATATCTGAGTACTTTACTTTTACTCAAGTACAAGACCTGAGTACTTCTACTTTTACTCAAGTACAATATCTGAGTACTTCTACTTTTACTCAAGTACAAGATCTGAGTACTTCTACTTTTACTCAAGTACAAGATCTGAGTACTTCTACTTTTACTCAAGTACAAGACCTGAGTACTTCTACTTTTACTCAAGTGCAAGATCTGAGTACTTCTACTTTTACTCAAGTACAAGATCTGAGTACTTCTACTTACTGAAGTTGATCTAATTCACATTTCTATTGCCTTACAGGGAGGCTGCATTTGGGGAAGTTCCCACCAGCATGGATACTGAATCATCCAACGGCAAAGAGGCAATGGTACACCTATTGATATATGACTACTATGACTCTGTGTGTTCTCTTGTACTGCATGAGATGCTTGCCTCCTATAATACACATTTACACAATACACTTTACATAATACACAAGCATGCATACGCATGCTTCTTAGTTAACATGAAGCTGTCCTTGGCTCCTTTCTGCTGTAACAATGTACATTTCCCCTCTGTGGGACGAGTGAAGGTATTCTGATTCTGATACACATGCTGTTGTTTAATAATGAGACTCTGTGTATCTGACAGGAAGCGGCGGGGGAGGGGTCTGAAGCGGCCGACGCTCTGACGGGGTCCGGAGACGAGGAGAGTGGTCGGCAGCTGGGAGAGGTGGAGCTGCAGTGTGCGCTCTGCATGAAGTGGTTCACTGCAGACACCTTCAGCATCGACACCGCGTAGGTTATCACTTATTACTACACGGCGGCTTAGTTGTATACTCCATTCTGATTGGTCAATTCAGAACATGTGACACGTTGTTAATCCAGTATTACAGACCGCTGTCTAGGGTTGGGAATCAAAACTCGGTTCCAGGTGAGAACCGATAAGAAAATGCCAGGTACCGGGTACCCACACAAAATACACAATTTCGGTTCTGCTTAACGGTTCCTAAACGCGGTAGACCCTGTATTCCAGCGGGTCCGTCTGCGCCGCGGCGACCCGGTGGAATACAGGGCGGACCTGGAGAATCACTCGGTTCGCTGACGGCCGGCACCGCCCTTAATAACGGCATCATGTAAGTTGCGCTGACCGGCGACAGAGGTCCCCAGTTGCCCCGCAGCGAGGCTCCCCCGCCCTCCCGTAGGCAGCTCACGAGCTCAGTCACTTCATAACACCACAGATGGGTCGCGGTAAACGCTCTGAAGTGAGGCTCCACTACACTAAGAAAGAAAAAGACGAGGCACAGTGTAAAGCCTGTTAATAGCTTGCCACAGGCATAGCTCAGCTAAAATAAAGCACAGCTATTGTGCAATACATTTGTATTGCATGTATATTTTTTATTTGTAACAATTTCAGTTAAAGCTTAAAAGAATAAAGATATTTTTGTTATCTAAACGTTTGACCTCTTTCTTTTACAATTTTGGAATCGAAACGGGGAATCGATAAGAACCGGAAACGATACATTTCAAACGATACCCATCCCTACCGCTGTCAAGGACTGTAATGCCCGTTGCTAAGTAGGGATGGGAATGATTAATCAGATATTCGAATATGAGTTATGAATATTTGTATTGTAAAAAATGTTTTATAGCAGGGGTTCCTAAGTTGATTACATATTATCAAATGAATAGGATATGTAAATTCGGGTAACCGTTTTTGGGGTGTCGAATATTGAAATATAAATTAGCTTTCAAATTCCCGTCCCTAATCCGCAGTAATGTGACGGCTCCCAGCTGCAGGTGACTCCTGGTCAACAGAGGATGTGGACAGCGAAGCATCTCATATGTTCTCTGGCATTTGCTCTGAGGACAACACACACACACACACACACACACACACACACACACACACACACACACACACACACACACACACCATGTCCTTTAAACATCCACACCAATGCTCACGGCACTGCGTTAGAATTGGAGAATAACTATGAAATTGCCAAGATAACATTATTTTTGAGTAATGCAATACAAACACAGCATGTCCTTTAACATCCACGCTCAGTAATGATGTCATGTTTTCTCCTCCACAGCACCTGCCTTCCCTTCATGACTAACTACGTGTTTCACTGCAACGTGTGCCATCACAGCGGCAACACCTACTTCCTCCGGAAACAAGCAAGTGGGTGTTTTAATCTAAGGGTAGAAGAGCATTTCTTTTATTGGTCTTGCATCCCTTAACCCTCAGATGCACAAGTGGGTCTCTTTTGACCCGGGGAGGTGGTTTTCTTGAAGTATCTTTGTAATGATATGTTTTTATCATTTCATATTCCAGCTATTCCTCAAAAAACATGTTTTGGATATCAAGCCTTTCACATTTTAAATTTACATTTTAAGAAATTGTAGTTTTTGTATTTCTACCCCAAGCTTCCATAAGTGGGTCAAAAATGACCCGCATGTATTTTCTATGGGGTCCTCTGGGACCCTTTGATTCCTATCAACTGTTGCCGTCAGGACTACATTCACTGTGGACCACACAGACGACATCACAAGTGACACCTCTCAGGAAGATTATTTTACACAGCAAGATCTGAAACCTGTCAGTATAATAATAATACATTATATTTGTATAGGGCTTTTCAAGGACTCAAAGTCGCTTTACAATATAAGGGAAGGTTAGGGTGGGGGGTATAGGACTATCAGACTTGATCAACCGGCATGGATTGATGGGGGGGGGCTTTGAGTAGACCAGAGGAGAAGAGATGAGTTTGGAAAAGGGACTGGAATACTGCGAGGGTCTCAGAATAGCGGAGATCTTTGCATCGATATGTTCAAAACGTTTTTTTTCCACAAAAAAACATCTAAAATTATAATTAGTGAAAAATTAAATACAACATATTTCTAGAGTGAACCAAAATATAATATTAAATATTATACAAGTGATTTTTCTTAACCAAAAATGGCATAAAAACACATTATTCTAATACAGGTCCTTTTTGAGCCACTTATGGAAGAGAGTAGGGTCCAGTCACTCGGGCATCGAAGGGTTAACATTATCTCAGTGAGTTTTTACCATATTTAGATCGATGGATCTTTCATTTTGTTATTGTACAGGTACAACGAAATTACAATAAACTCAAGGTGCCAACACGCAACAACAAGACAATATAAAAACAATAAATGGGACTTAAAATGTAGTGACTTTTGCCTCTTGGCGACCATTTCTAGAAAGCATCAAGAAACAAGACATTATTTACTAGATAATATTGTAATGTATTCCCTTAACTCCATGGTTCTTCTGCAGCACTGAGCCCCCCCCCCCCCTCCTCTTGGCAGGCTCTCCTCACTGCAGCAAAACCACCCACTTCTCTGAATGCAAATGACTGGCAGCTTTTTAGCTTCTTCCACTGTCCACCATCTACACTGCTGGGAGTTCACATTGAAACTCTTCTGTTAGTGGGAATAGCTACCAGGGAAACGAAAGCGCTATCGTATTCCTGTTCTCATTGCACACTTCAAATGTCCTTCATTTCCCCAGGAGAGAGAACGCAAGGCTTATAGGGAATCAATTGAAACCCTGATGGCGTCATTTCTCTAAAAGCCATTACATTGTGTAATAGAGATTTACTTAATGAAGATACCTTTAAGCGAAACGCTTGTCTATTGACCAGCGTTTCCGCCAGGCCGGCGTCTTGCCGTCATTTGACGCCCTTATTCAGCTCGGAGCTCTGTTGGAGGGACAGGGGGTGTTTCTCAATGTCAAGGAAGGATGCTCCAGAGCCATTTTCAAGCATACTACGTCATCGAGTGCCGCCGAAGTAGGGGTGGGCGATATTGAAAAATATAATATCACAATATTTTTCAAGCAGTATCACGATAGACGATATTTATCACGATATTTTTTCATGTCGGTTACTATGGTTACAACCACCTACAAGGTAACACAAACTAAAATAAAAAGGAGTCACAGACCAAAATACCATTTCAAGCTGGTTTTGATTCTGCAGTGAATCCCTGAATGAACAATTCAACAGGAATGTTGATATGGCTTCCTCAGTGTTCAAGCAGGTAGGCCTACGCCCTACACAACAACCGTTAACACTGGTTTCTTCACCAAGTAAGTGCACTCTCTTGCTAAATAAAATAAAATATTCAAGGCACAGTTTCTCTGTATAAAAATGCACTTTCTGTTTTAGGTAGCACTAGCAGTGATGTAACATCAATACACATGAATGAGTAAAACATAAAACTTCAATGAGGAAAAGTCAGTGCCAAACAATTAAAATGTAAACTTTAGACTTGAAGTGCAATCAAAGACTTTAGCATAACTGAACATCTGTTTAAAAAGGGAAACACAATATAAATACCTTATTGATCAAATAAAATATAAGCCAACAGAATCAACCAAGACAATAAATGCAATACTGTCTGAAGACTAGACAGCTTGGGTTTTACTAACCGTTATCAGTATGTAGTTACTTCTGCATCATTTTGAAACGTGTATTACAATTAAATCACGGTAACATAGGTTAATTTGGTCGTAGTTGGTTTCCACCACCGTATTTACATGGATATAAGCCCCGCCCCCTCTCCAGCGCGTCCTGTTTGAATGCCAGGAGTAAACACAGCTGACAGCCGCGGTGAAACTCCAGCGGTTAGGGTGATGAGAATATTCGCATCGCGTCCGTTGTGAACGCAGCATGACGCAGTTCAGAAACCACTGTTCTGACGCAGGCCGTAGGACCTACAATTATTTTCAGGGCTTCACGGCCAGACCGGCCGTCATGGCCGCCGTGAAAATCCTACCCTGGTGCACTATCACGATAGATATGATATCTCTGAAAAGGCGTATCGTGGAGACCTAATATCGTCTCGACGATATACATCGTCATATCGCCCACCCCTACGCCGAAGGACTGTTCCAATGTCCAGCATACTTGGAATTCTACCGAGCCCGGCGTACTTCGTCTGGAGAAATGTTGAGGCTGCACATGTGTAGACTCCGCGGTCTTAAAATCCCCACAATGCTTTGGGCACGGACCAATTTCCCCAAATCTGTGGCGGGGCCTCTCATATGACGCACACCTGCACACTTGCTCGCCTGTTCCACTCTTTGTTTTCCGAATGCCAGGAAGTATTCTTGCCTCGCTTCTGAAGCAAGTGACTCGGAAGACGTGCTACCAAGCAAGCGTCCTCGACATTGAGAAACACCCAGTATCTATGGGACGGCTCAATTCAAAATTCAAGTCACGTGACACGACATGACGTCACCCCCCCTCCCTCGGGGTGGACGCCTCTCAGCCCTGGTCTGGCGGAAACACTGCTTTTGACCCTTTAACTGAGTCAGAACTAAACATAGAGAAGCTCAGTTATTATGCTCCAGATCTCTGGAACAAACTCCCAGAAACCAACGGTCCGCTGCAACTCTGACGACTTTTAAATCCAGGCTGAAGACTTTCTGTTTCCGCTGCTTTTTATTAACTATTCACATCTCAAACTGCACTGTAACTTTTATTCATGTGTGTTTATTTTATTATCTGAGCTGTTTTTAAAATGCCATTTTATAATCTATCCGCTGCACTTCTTCTTAATGCTCTGAATGTCTTTCATTTTTGTAAAGCACTTTGAATGGCCTTGTGTTGAGAGGTGCTATATAAACTTGCCTAACTTAGCTGTGAGTACGTTTTGTGTGCACTCATTTTGAATCTTTAACAAGCCGGTGTTTCTCTCTCTCTCTGTGTGTTCAGACCTGAAGGAGATGTGTCTCACGGCGCTGGCCAACCTCACCTGGAGGTCCAGAACGCACGACGAGCATCCGAAGACCATGTTCCCCAAAGAGAAGGTGAGCATCACGTTTCACTGCCCTTTGGAATCATGCAAATATGAACTGTAAAACATATATAGCCAAAGAATTCTCCTGGTGAGGCTGTGAATACTACTGCTATCATGTGTGGTTTGTTTTCATGTCTCTCTCTCTGCAGGATATCATCCCGTTCATTGATAAGTACTGGGAGTGCATGACGACCCGTCAGAGACCCGGGAAACTCACCTGGCCGAACAACATCGTGAAGACAATGGTAACGTCAACTTCATTGTCAAGAATTCCACATGTTATACATACAGAACATTCGAAATACCGTTTCTCGCAGTCCCACAGTGTGACATATATACATATAAAAAGATACGGAGGCGTGCGGCGCTGTGAGTTGTGCGTAGGTGTTCAGATCAGGGCAGCACAGCTTGGGTTGGGTACCGAGAACCGGTTCAAGCATTTCTTCCCGGTATGCCCGAGAAGGCAGATATGCTTGTTTTTCTCAACAAGAACTGTTTTTAAATGGGGGGGGGGCAGAGGTCGCGTTAACCGAATATTTTCCTTTTTTTTTTAACAATGACAAATCTGAAAGCAGTCCGTCATTTTGACAGATTAGAACAAACTCGGAACAGCACCAAAGTTTCCCCGCAGCGAGGCTCCGGTGTTATGCCGTGTTATGCATGCCCTCCGAAAAGGAAATCATACCGTTTCCAAACCTAACTGTGCCGAACAGATCATTGACATGTCTGTGAGTTTTGGCTTTACGCTGTGCACGCTCCCACGAGGTGCAGCAGCCATGCATAACACGGCGCATGTGAACTGCCCACCCCGTTGACAGTTCACGAGCATGCTTCCCCGCCACCCCCCCCCCCAGAGTTGTGTAAAGGCCGACGGGTAGGGGTGTAACGGTATCCGTATTCGTCCCGTACCGTCACGGTTCGGCACATGCAGTCACACGGCGAATACGCCTTTTTTTACGAGTGGGAAAAAAGTCTGTCACTCAGGGCAGTATTACACTATATATAATCCAGGGGGCGGTATTGCGCCTAAAAGCCAGCCGCCCGTAAATAACAAATGAAGAACAAGAAGAAAACACAAACGAACACAAGAAGAAAAGTTAGTAGCTACGGCGAGTTCACACAACACACAGGAGCTAGAACCCACCTGCTTCTTTTAAACCAGGTGTGTGGGAACATTTCGGGTTCCCTGTGGACTACAACAATGATGGGGTGCGAGTTGTGGATCGGACGAGGACGGTGTGTCGGCGTTGTTCGACAGCGGTGCGGTGCGGTATGCTAGTGGTAACACGTCAAACATGCTCAATCACATCCGAGTCAGTCTCAGTCCCAGCGAGAGGGTTTTCTCGACGGCAGGTGACATAGTTACCGCCAACAGATCTGCCCTCACTGCTGACAACGTAGACTAACTCATCTTTCTGAAGAACAACTTGAAAATAGAGTAAAGCTTGAGTACCTTTATTTAGGCATAATGGCCTCACACACTCACAAGTTAATTACACATGTTAGACATTGCTCCTGAAGGTAGAGATTTTATTTTCTTATTATTTATTTTAATATTTTCAAGACATTCTTTTTTGTTGTTCAGCTTATTTAACCTTTTTGTTTGACATCAGCCATTATAGATACTATGGCCATCTGAGTGTGTGTGTTACTGTTTGTGGTTTGTTTTTAACTGTGTAATACAGTTAATGATTCCAAATGTTAGAGTTCCTTATTTTCATACCAAAACTTGCACGACTGTTAAAAATAAATAACAGCAAAAAAAATTATGCATTTGGGACTTTTCTTTGCTTTTCCTTGTTGTACCGAAACGGGACCCCCAAACCGAGGTACGAACCGAACCGTGACTTCTGTGAACCGTTACACCCCTAACGACGGGTAATTCTGGATTTTGACAGAAGTTTTATGATCCTGTCCGTCAAAATGACGGGCAGCGAAAAAGTCTAGCGCAACCTCTGGGGGGGGGGGTTCCTTTAAAGTTGGACTGTTGCAGCTTCAGTGGTTCTCAGGTTACAGTTAGCAGTGAATATAAACAGACTGATTAATGTGAATATTACTGGAAACTAACCTGTGTGAAAGTTTCTCGAATAAATGTAATCTTTTTGGTGGAAGAAGCATGTATCATTTTTTTACCCTGCCCTCAAAGAATCGGAATCGAAAAGTAGAATCGGAACCGTGGAAATTCAAACGATACCCTACTCACAGCAGGTTCAAACCCCACTGCAGTCAGCATGTCGTTGTGTCCCTGAGACGCTTCAAAGTGCTCCTGTGGGGATTGCCCACAGTGCTGAGTATGTTTGGATAAAAGCGTCTAACAAGTAACATGTCATGTAGAAGATACAAAAAGGGCCTCGATAACGGGGGACACAAACTAAGTTGGAAACATAGAGACACAGAGAAATAAGAAGACTCTTTGTGTCAGAGGAAAAGTCAGTGGACATTTTTAAACTCCAGCTAAAGACTCGTCTTTTTAGAATAGCATTTTATTAGCTCATTATTTATCCAACATGCTTCAGTAGCAACATTTCTTTTGACGTTGGTCATATTTGCATTTCTGTTGTAGCTATACGTTCACTTTGGCTTATGGGGTTGTGTATGTTATGTTGTTGCATGGACTCAGTCGTCTTGTGTCTTATCTGTCGGAGAGAAACCATTATTTATTATATTTTATTATCATACATTTGACCTCCTTGTCTGATAACATGTTATATTGTATGTTTGCTGCATGGAACTTTTTAAAGTAATCTGAGGGGAATTTCTTGTTTGTTTTTAACTCGTGATGTGTCATTTAGTAAAGCGCTTTGAGCTGCACGTGTTGTATGAAAAGTGCTGTATAAATAAAGCTTTATTATTATAAATTAGGGATGTAACGATATATCGAATATCGCGGTAAATAAATGTCTCAATACCGTCTGACGAGACTGACAAAATATAGCGCCATTTTTTTTTAAAAACCTTTATTCAACCAGATGGTCCCATTGAGATCATCAATCTCTTTTTCAAGGGAGACCTGTCCAACATGGCAGCAAGTAGGTTACACCATGAACATAAAACAACAGATAACACAAAAGGATATTGTATTTACAGGGCTACATGTACACACCTAGAGACATTGACAAGTACCAACAGGATATTTATATCTCTGTCAATAAGCCTCACCTTCTTGGCAACAACTGTATTGTTTTTGAAGTGGTGGAGACAATGCACAGTTTGACCCACTGCTGTCACCCATGGCCAAAGCATGTCTCTCTGTCCCAGCAACATCAGTACCAAGCAAGAGAGTTGTTTCCACAGCAGGGGATTTTGCAAACGCCCAAACATCCCAGCTTCTACCTGGAAATGTGGACATGCTCATATTCCTGAAAGATAACCTTGATGCCGCTGAGTGAGAGAGTTAGAGTTGAGTTACTTGAAAAACTAAAGTGAAACTTGATTTATTCTATTGCAGGGTCTGATTATTATATTGTTGACACTTTAAAATACTACTATCCTATAAAATGCTGTACAAATCAGATAAAAAGAAAAAGATATTTTTCAATATCGCGATAAATATCGTACCGTGGACTTTGTATCGCGATATTATCGTACCGTGAGTTTTTAGTATCGTTACATCCCTTTTATAAATACTAGGTTATCCCGAGAACCAATATTATGTCTGACCCTCCACTGAAAAACCAAAATACTGCTGTTATCATATAGTAATATCTTTCTAATCGTACGTGTGTTTTAACTCCAGAGTAAAGAGCGAGATGTCTTCCTGGTGAAGGAGCACCCGGACCCCGGCAGCAAAGACCCCGAGGAGGAATACCCCAAATTCGGCCTTTTGGACCAGGTATCTTCATCATTCAATAAAATACTGTTACTGACACGGGACATCTTTGTCTCGCTACCTGCTGGCTACCCCATATTTTTGTGGATAGCCCTTGGAATTAAAATGTTTTTTTTTTTTAAACGTCTAACTTCAGTTTTCCTGATTGTTCTGTAGGACCTGGGGACCATCGGACCCTCGTATGACTCACAGAAACAAGCCAGTGCTGCTCCAAGTGCTGCAGGGGTGAATGGTAAGGGTAGAAACAAATAAATACTTTTGAATCGTCATGCAGGTCAAACTAAAGCCAACGTCTCTGGCCTGTGTAGAGGGGTGCAGGAATGAGTCACAGTTTAAACTCCTCCTGTCCCCTGGGCTGGAAGTCAACGGTTTTCTGAATGTGTTTTTGGTTGTTAGTCTGAAATAAGGTCAACACGAGCTGAAGAGATTTTAACGCTTTGTTCTACGACATAAAACACGTCGGTAAATACCCACTGGTGGATTTAAAACGTATCATAAGCGTTTCTGCAATAACCCAAAATCACACGGACAAATCCCATTGAGCCAGGGAGATGCTGCCTTCAGGGTCGGCCTATAAAATCCGTCCTCCCTGCATCACTGTATAAACTCCCCAAAGTTGAACCTAAGAGCATTTTGAAAATAATGAAGTTTCCTGGAAGTCAATGGTTTTCTGAATGGTTGACATAAGGTCTGTGGTTAACACAAGCTGGAGAGATTTTAACGCTTTGTTCCACGACAAACTATACGTCAGTAAATAATACCCCTCTGGTGGATTTAAAAAAGATGATTTCCAACAAAAAAAAACCTGTGTGGAGCCTTTGAAACTGAGACCATTTAGGGAGGAGAAAAATAATTAAAAAAACATTTATTTATAATCATAATATATCACAAACGTGCCACGAATAGTCGACTAATCGCCTTAATTGGTCGACTAGAAAAATGGTATTGTAACATTTTTAGGGTTGCCTAAGTTGTTCAATACATTGGACAAATTCCACTTGGTTTCTATATTTATTAGAACATAGAATACGTCAGTAAATACCACACTGGTGGATTTAAAAAAGGTGGTTCCTAACAAAGAAAAAGTGTGGAGAAAATCCCATAGAGGCGAAGTCCCGCCCTTCTACTTCCGCCCCATGGGACCTCTTTCTGAAAAAGTTTGTATTGAAGTCAATGAGAGAAAGATTATCTCTCGATCCCGTTTGAATTGTGCCACGAATTACACACATGATGTTTGTCAATCTTAACAAATCATTTCCACGTCAAAAAAGTCACAGTTTGTCGTAAAACTGTTGAAATATAAGACTATGAGAAATACGCAACTAGAAAGACTACAAATCCCAGAGTCCCGGTCCCGCATGCTGGCTCTCAGGAACCGACTAACTCCCCTTGTGTGTGTGCACAGCTCTCAACGTGCCCAGACTTGGAGTGATTTCCTCCTCTTTGAATACTTTCCGCCTCATTCTGAGAGAAAGAAGTGAAATGTTCCAACGTGACGGCCGTCTTGGTGTGTGGTGCGAGGCGGGAGATGTAGTTCATTGAGCGGTTTCACACAAAGTGTTACTTCACAGTTTTACGACACATTTTAATTTTTTTGACTAAATTATCTTTTAAATTGACAAACATAATTCGTGGCTCAATTCAAACGGGATCGAGAGATAACTTTTCTCTCTCCATTGACTTCAATACATACTTTATCAGAAATAAGGTCCCATGGAGGAAAGGGAGGGACCTCTCTATTGAACCAGAGAGATGCTGCCTTCAGGGTCAGCCTATAAAATCCGTCGTCCCTGCATCTCTCTAAACTCCCCTGAAAAACCTATGAAAATGATGACCTTGGTGATTTTGTGCGTTGTTTTCCAGGTGGATCTTCTTTCTCAGGTGACTATGCAACGTGTTGGCATTGGAGCTGTTGTGTTTGTCCGCCTCTGGGTAGAAGTTGGCCCTGAGGTTCTTCATTAAGCATCTCATGGGCAACTTCATCCAGCTGTAATCCCCCTCCCTTTTGCCTCCCTATGCACATGCCCCCCCCCCCCCCCCCCCCCCCTCCCAAAAAGCTTTGATCAGTACCATGCCTTCCTCGTGTCCCGCTTGCTGCTAATTGGCTCTGAAATCTCCTCGCTGAAATGACACTCTGGCCCTCCGTGTGTGAGAGCCGAGAGCCATTTTGATTTGCTATTGGCTTTCATCCAATGCAAATTCTCCTCGTCCTCCATTTGCATATTAGACATGATGTGAGACATCACTAGGTAGCAGTTCTGTAGTTGGATTGATTTTACGATCTGTATCGAACAGTTCACACACACACACACACACACACACACACACACACAGACACAGACACAGACACACACACACACCACACACACACACACACACAACACACAGCACACACACACACACACACACACACACACACACACACACACACAGAGACACACACACACACACACACAGAGCGAGAGACACACACACAAGACACACACACACAGAGAGAGACACACAGACACACACACACAGACACCACACACACACACACACACACACATAGAGACACACATACACATTCTCACACACACACATTCTCACTCACACACACACACACATAGAGACACACATACACATTCTCACACACACACATTCTCACTCACACACACACTATCTCACACAGACACACACACACATTCTCACACACACACACATTCTCACTCACATACACATTCTCACACACACATTCTCACTCACACACATACACACATACACACACACACACACACACACACACACACACAGACACACACACACAGGACACAGAGACACACACACATTCACATTCTCACACACACACTCAGGCGTACTGAGGCTCAGTAACGTGTGCACACTTATTCTTTAAGTCTATTCTCTTCACTTCTGCTTTTGTAATAATGTTTTGAAGAAGAGACACGAGGGCTCTGCAGAGCACGCCTTGAAACGCCTTGACACCATCCACACGAGTTACAGCAGGTTTTCATGAGATGTTACTTCGCAGCTTTCGGGACAATGTGTCTCATTTTGGACAAACCTGAGATTGTTGTGCTCATTTGAACACAGGGAGTTCATGTTGTGTTCAAGTAAAGGGTGTGTGTGTGTGTGTCTGTATGTGTGTGTGTGTTTGCGTGTCTGTGTCTGTATGTGGGTGTGTGTGTGTGTGTGTCTGTGTCTGTATGTGGGTGTGTGTGTGTGTGTGTGTGTGTCTGTATGTGTGTGTGTGTTTGCGTGTCTGTGTCTGTATGTGGGTGTGTGTGTGTCTGTCTTTTCTGTGGCTGTGTGTGTGTCTGTCTGTATGTGCGTGTGTGTGTGTGTGTGTGTGTCTGTGTGTGTGTGTGTGTCTGTCTGTGTGTGTGTGTCTGTCTGTCTGTGTGTGTGTGTGTTTGCGTGTGTGTCTGTGTCTGTGTCTGTCTGTCTGTGGCTGTGTGTGTGTCTGTCTGTATGTGTGTGTGTGTGTGTGTTTGCGTGTCTGTGTCTGTATGTGTGTGTGTGTGTCTGTCTTTTCTGTGGCTGTGTGTGTGTCTGTCTGTATGTGCGTGTGTGTCTGTGTGTGTGTGTGTGTGTGTGTGTGTGTGTGTGTCTGTCTGTGTCTGTATGTGGGTGTGTGTGTCTGTCTGTCTGTCTGTGTGTGTGTGTGTGTTTGCGTGTGTGTGTGTGTCTGTCTGTCTGTGGCTGTGTGTGTGTCTGTGTCTGTATGTGTGTGTGTTTGCGTGTGTGTGTGTGTGTGTGTGTGTGTGTGTGTGTGTGTGTTAGCTAAACACAAAGATACCTGAGATCGTTCTGCACATTTTGATTCAAAGAAAACTTGTGGAAATGCCTCGGAGGGAACAGTTTGAGGCTCAGTTGAAATTGTAAATGAATGCTGTACACACACACACACACACACACACACACACACACACACACACACACACACACACACACACACACACACACACACACACACACACACACACACACACACACACAGAGCAGTCTCACTGTCTGCATGATGAATAACTTTGACTGGTTAAAAAAATGACATTAAAATGGTGCTTGTATCTGGATATCTTTACTTAGATAATTGATGAATTCAAATGTCCTTTTTTTAACCAGTAATATAAAGCCAGTATTTGTGCAGATCAACAATCTTATCAGGGCACAATTGAATCCCAGTGGTGGCTTCATAGGATTGTTTTCGACTTGTGTGACCTAAATATATCCAAAAAACACCAATTTCGAATCTAACAGTTAGTTCTCTGGGAGGAAGAGGTAGAGATCCTGAAATGTTGCTTCAGAGAGCCGTGTGGTTTCATGTTTGGAAAACCCCACGCTGACTAATGCCTGCCTCTCTGTGCCTGCCGTTTCCCCGTGTGAACAAACACTTTAACGTGTTGTTTGAGTCCCTATAGGCGCTTTCACACCGCAGTACTTTCCCCACAAAGGTTCATGAGAACTTAGTTCATGAGAACTCTTTAGTTCTCATGAACTAAGTACAGATCGCGTTCACACCGGAATAAGTTCCCTGAGGGAGGATTAGGCAAATGAAGCCGCTGACGTCACTTCTTCTTCTTCTGCTTTGGGTTTACTGGCAGGCCGCAAACCACTTCACGGCGTATACTGCCGCCCGAAGTCCCCGGCCGGAAGTCCCCGGAGTTGGGACTGGCTTCGGTAGAAGCTGCTGGGACTCCCAGCAGCTTCTACTGAAGCCTTCCGAGTAAATCGCCAGAACGCCGACACCTCCTCATCTCCACCGCTCCCATGTTTTATTTTGTGTTGCCATAAGTTAGTCTCTCTGCGTTTCTGCGCTGGGCTGATGCTAATGCTAATAATGCTAATGCGAGGATAATAAAATGGCGTCTTCACAAAACTTTTTTGGAGTTTTACGGGGCGTGGTTTGCAATCCGCCCA